TGTTGGGGGCAATATGCTGACTCTGTAAACCGCTTAGAGAGCTATGAAGCGGTATATAAGTCTAACTGCTAACTAACTGCTAACTTCCAGTTTGCCCATAGGGCCATTTTTCACCCTCCACAGGCTTCAAGGAAGCTGGATGAAACTTCCAGAGAGCCTTCAAGGGGGCAGGGGAGGTTGTTTTCACCCTCCCCAGGCTCCTAAAAAACCTCTGGAGCCTGGGGAGGGCAAAAAACAGGTCTATCACAAGCCAAAAGCATAGGGGAGGGGAGAGGTCACGCGGGCATGCCCATGCGGGGGTCACGCACATAGCATTATGGGTGTGGGCATGCCTGCGCATGCCCCCTCTGCTCTCCTCCCTTTTGGCACTTGATGGGGAATAGGTAGTCATCACTGCTCTATACCATTTCAGATAAATCATTGTCCAAGCTCTTAAAAATCTCCTGAAGCCCTTAGTTGACAAGTAAACATTCATACTTGTCAGCCTGTGTGAGCCATAGTCGATAATCAACTATGTCACCCCCCCTCAAGGAAACAGAGCATGATGTGGCAAAGAGATTAAACTTCATACAGAAGAAAACAGTCATTCAGTGAAGAACAGCAGATGCCAGATCCCCAATTCCAGTGATGGGCTCAGACATGCTGAGTGCTTAGTGCATGACCAAGACAGAAGAGAAATATTGTTGGCTTGGACATCATAATCCTCCATTCTGCACTACTTGAGTGAGCTTTTTGGTTTGGGCAACTAATGCCATCTTATTATTTGTACATTTCCCCTCATATATTCTCATAAATCCCAACGCTAGAGCAATATTTCAAAATTGTCATTTTTCTAGACACTAATTCAATTTTATGCCACAATGTCCTCAAATATCCAGTAACAAATTTAACATTTGGGAGATGCTTTTAATTTGTTCTGTTTGGAATTGTTGTCTGATCTTCCCAAAATTTCATTGCATCATGAAACATCATGTTTCACATTTCATCTGGAGTCTGCAAGTAATAACAACAATAATAATAACAGACACTAGTATAATTCAATTTAATTTGATTCTGAAATTCTTACCTTATCAAGGTATCGTCATCCACAATGACTAACCAAGGCATTTTAGCAGGACTATGATTTAAAAATCTTTCCAAAATGGCAAAAGTCTTTCCACAATGACCTAGAAAGTAACAAAAGAAAAAAAAAGAAACTGGGAAGTAGATATTAAGTAAAACTTTGGACATACAGTATATCCAAATAAGGTATGTCCTGTTACAGTATGGGTCAATCAGCTTAGTAACAATTAATTAGAACATCTAAACAAGACTAGAATCTGGAGACAGAATCTGCTTGGTTGGCTGCCCTTAATACAGCAATTTAAAAAGAGGGTAATCCTTGGCCATCTACTCTGCAGCACAGATCATTCTGCTATAATTCATCCATAAAAATGCTGACTTGGGACAGTTTTTTTTTGTTTGTTTGGTGCAATTAGAGTAAAGCTCTTTTGTTTTTAAACAACTGCGCCCAGCGTCCAAACTCTCAAAAATGGGCGGAACATTTTAACCTCATGGCCATGCTTATGCTGGCCCTGAAAAATAAATGAAAAGTAATGTGGAAGCTTCAATATGATTGCCTTTTCTTGCTGTAATGTAGAAAAACATTTATTCCGGAGGGGGGGGGAGGGGGGGTTCTGTTCCAATATTTGACCATTCCTGCTCAGCCCAATTCCACATGACAGAAGGTAGAGGAACTAAGGCCACCATTTGTACCTTAAGTATCACTTTTCAGGCTGCAATTTGGAGTCATATTAGTAATAATATTATATTAATAATTATATTGATAATATAAATAATTGAATTAATATCAATGCAGTATCAAGAGATTTTCAATTCAATTGTGCAGAACGTGAAGGATGTGTAGTTTTCTTATGTATGATGTACACTGAAGATGGCATTTAATTTCATTGTACAAGATACAATGACAATAAAGTAAACTTAACATAAGCATTTCATTGTTGCAGACATTCACGTGGAATACTTGTTACAACTTGTGAAAGAAATATATTATAACCTACCTCTTTCGGTATTTGGTACTCCTATATCAACAGTAGGTATTGAACTTTCTGCATAATCACTGTAGTATTCCATGAAAGTGGCTTCTCTTTCCCAGGTTTGCTTCACAATAGGTACTGATTTTTTAAAAAAAATAAAAGAAGACACAGACAGGAGAATCAAAATGACTATTTGGAAAAAAATAATAATACTCATTTAGAATACATAGCCATGTCTTCATGCCAAGTTCAATTTAGAATACCCTTTTAGATGGTATTCTAGTCCTAGATAGCTTTTGTGTTTGCAGTACTTCGGCTAATGAAGTAGTTCTTATGCAGCACCGAAATGAAAATGAGTTTGAAACCGCTCTCCTAGTTGGTGGGATACAGCAGCCACAGTATATTGACTTGCAAAGTAATCCTGTGATCAGAAATCCTTATTTGCNTGGATAGCCATCTATCTGAAATGGTATAGGGTTTCCTCCCTAGGCAGGAGTTGGACTAGAAGACCTCCAAGGTCCCTTCCAACTCTGCTATTGTATTGGATTGTATATCAGAAACAACAGCAGATAAGCCTTGTTATTTGGCACTCTCTCTCTCTCTCTCTCTCCCTTTCCCTCCCCCTCCCTCTCTGGGAGATGATAAAAATTCCTGTTTCCAGAAGTGTCAGCCAAAATGACACTTAAGAGGGATGTATCAGACTTGGTAAAACCATAAACGTACAAAACCAAATTGGAAGGATAGTAGAATAATTGTGTATTAACTGAATAATCATATTTTCCTTAAATTTTAATATTAAAGTTATGCTTAAGAATGAATGCACTTTCAATATCAAAAAGCTAACACATCATTTTCAAAAGAATACAGACAGCCCTCATTTAACAATCCTGGGATCTGCAACTCTGCTGCTAAGCGAAGCAGTTAGTAAGGGGGAAATCATGGGAGTATGACTGTGCTTTCTGTCTGAAAAGGGACAAGACTAGCCAGTATACCTGGTTTGCCTTTGGTTTGCATCCTAACCATTCACCCCATTTCCCTTTGGAAAGCTCCATTGTCTGCTTACTGACTTATACACACACCAAAACCATGTGATTGCATTGCAGCTTAGGGCTGGAGCCAAACTCATGCTATGCATACCGTTTATAGTAGTTTCTTGCAGTCAATTTCTCTCCTCTATGTGAGAGGAGATGGGTTTAAAAACAGCAAGCAATTTCTGCAGGCAGCCTCTCCTTCGTTTGACCTTTCTTGTTGCGAACACAATCGCATTGCTCCTAATGCGTAGAAGAGCAAACAGCTTATTTTCTTGCAATCCTTTTCTCTTCAATAAATCTGCCCTGCAAAGGGGGGACACACACACACACACACAAGACAACGCTACGGACAGTAAAGGTGATCACTGTCTGAGAGATGCTGAAAATATTGTAAATGGTCTGTAAAGTTATTTTTTCAGCATTGTTGTAACTTTGAAAGATTGTTGAATGAACGGTCAATAAGCAAAGGCTACCTGTATGCCTTTGTTGTGAAAACTCAAATGAAAGTTAAGAAGTTTGCAAAATAAGTGAAGAAAGCTCAGACTACCAAGTCATTGCAGTTATCTCACACACAAATAAAATGGTATCCAGAATTTCGCAATCCAACTTCAACAACCCACGGAAAGAGAACTGCCTGATGTATCAGCTGGGTTTACAAGGGTCAGGAGCTCATGGAAACATTTTACTAGCATCTAATGAATAATGGAAAAGGCAAGGGAATTCTACAAATATCTAATTTTGTTTTGACTATGTAGGCCACATAGCAAGTTGTGGGTATCTCTTAAAAACATCTCATCTGCCTTTTGAAGAATTTGTATGATAACCAAAAATAACAGAAGGGAATATGGAAGAACTAAGTGATTCAACTTTGGCACAAAGTGCATCAGGATTATCTATTGTCACTTTCTTTAACTTATATGCAGAATATATTGTGAGAAATGCAGGAATAGAAGAAGTAATATTTGGAATTACTGTAAAATTGTTTGGAGCAGGGGTGGGTTCTGGCTTCTTTTACTGCCAGTTCGCTCAGGGACACATGTCGGGCACACACATGCTTTGCATGTGTGCAAGCAGTAGTCAAAAAATTGTTTCTGCGCATGCACAGAAGCAAAAAACAAGATGGTGGTGCCATAGGCATCGCCAATAGAACTAGTTTGGGTATGTGGGTGGCTGAGTTACTACCTATTTGGACGAACCAGTCAGAACCTGTAGGAACTCACCTCTTGTTTCGAGCAATAATTACTTCAGATAAGTTCATGATATATATTATGATGGTAGAAGCAGGATAGACTAATGGAATCCTTTGTTGAAGATGAAGAAAGGGGAAACACCTATCTGACTGCTGCTCAATATTAACAAGAACTGAAATTATCTCAGAAATTCTGGGGTCTGATAGTATTTTTTCTAACTAATGCATTTTATTTAAAAGCTTTCTTGAATTACAGCTTACTTCATCAAATGTTTTTAAATCAAATTCCTTAATCACAGTTGTCCTACTATGCCTAAAATTACAGTATGTCAATAGATAATGGCAGCCTTTATTTCTCTGTAAATCAGCAAAGGAAAAAGTTGAACTACTGTAAGGTACAAGAAAAGGAAGAGCTTTTCTTCTCAAGCTGAAAAATTCACAAGATTAGTCACTTTAGTCATGAAACAGGAGGTACTATCACAAGCCTATGATATACCAAAATGCAAACACTTGCCACTGACATCCAAGTTACATATTGTCAAAGCTGTTGCTATTAGTTATTATAGATGGCTGCTGGAAAGGCTTAAACAAAGAAAATGATTCATTTGAGTTGTGGCACTGGGGAAAATTGCAATAATTTGGACTGGAATAAGAACAAATCACTCAGAATTAGATGAAGTGAAACAAGGCTGCTAAAAGCAAGCCTTAATAATGCGCCTAACCATTAAATATTTTTGGACACATAATGCAACAGCAAGATTCATCGGAAAAGATTCTACTGTTTGGACAAATCAAAAGCACTGGAAAAGAAGCCAACTGACAATAAGGTGGTTACATGACACAAGTAAGACCTTACAAGAACGCAAAGATGCAGTAAGTGACCCTTAGTCCTGAACAGCGATGATCACTGAATCACCAAGAGTCAGAAGCAATTGAAAAACAGATTGAAAGAAAAAGATCTCAGCTCATTGGTGATTAGTACAGTACCAACTTTGAACATTCTAAATGTTTTACATAGATGATTTTATAATTCTTTCAGCTATACGACAGCATTGCTATTGCCATATTGCAGATCCCAGTAATATTAATCATAGGTAGCAAATCCCGGCAAAGGAATTATGGATGAGAGTTAAAGAAAATGGATTGCCTGCCTGTTGTTTCCCAATCCTACTTTTCCCCATTTTAAGATAGCAATGGCACTTGCACTTATATACCGCTTCATAGTGCTTCACAGCCCTCTCTAGGCAGTTTGCAGAGTCAGCTTGTTGCCGCAAACAATCTAGGTAAAATCAACAATAATCATTCATTTCTGAATTTGTGAACAAAAAATGTGGTTCAGTACAATGGGAGATGTTAAACCTGAGGCGAGTCAATTTGATGCAGTGGTTAAAGCAGTGTTTTTCAACCTTTTTTGTGCAAAGGCACACTTTTTTCATGAAAAAAATCACGAGGCACACCACCATTAGAAAATGTTTAAAAAAAAATAACTCTGTGCCTATATTGACTATATATAAAGTAATTTTCCCACGGCACACCTTACACTATGTCACGGCACACTAGTGTGCNAAGGAAACAGCAGCTCATGAAAGAAACGCCATGGAGATCTGACCTGGGGCGATGGCACGCGTACCAGCAGAGAGAGCTCTGTGTGCCATCTCTGGCACGCCTGCCATAGGTTCGCCATCACCGATCTAGAGAAAGCATATGATACAATGAATAGCACCAAATTATGGAATACTTTGCATGATTATGCAACTGAGGATTAGTTGCTGCATGTGATGGAAGTAAAGCAGGGGTGAGAATACATGAAGGAAAAGGGAAAGGTTGTGAGCAGTGGTGAAATTCAATTTTTTTTACTACCGGTTCTGTGGCACGGCTTGGTGGGCATGGCAGTGGAAAGAAACTGCAAAATCCCCACTCCCCCTCGACTCTGGGGCCAGCCAGAGGTAGTATTTGCCGATTCTCCGAACTACTCAAAATTTCCACTATTTCCAAATTTCAGTCAGAACCTGCTGAATTTCACCCCTGGTTGTGAGGTATGCAAAGCACATAAAACTGTGGTTGGATTTTTTCAGAAAGAAATAAGGAGTTTAAAAAGCAGCAGTAATATATGAAATGGTATGTGAATTCATTTCAGTAGAACCTTTTTTGAAATTGCAAATTGCAGAAATTAGCATTAGATATTTGCAGCAGCATAACTTGTTTGCTCTTCTTAAGTGGCTGCAGCAGTTAGTAATATTCTGGTCACCATTCTGTGTCCTCCTTAATGCTCTTGATCTAGCATAGCTTTGGGGGTTTGTAGTATGAGGGGACCACAGAAAATTAAAGAGAGCCTTAAGAAATATTCTCAGAAAGTAGAGTCTGAGAAAAATCGACTTTTCTATAATTAAAACAAGTGATGAGTAAAATAGTTAAGTACAAAGAAAATAAATTCCCTCATCACCCTACAAAGATTATCAAAAAATAAAAGTAATGTCTGAAGCTCATTTATCATCTGTGTATATCACACGGATAGAACAGTTTACAGAGACAATAGGATCAATACATCTTTCTTGTGATTTGAAGGGAGAGAAAAATGCTGAAGGCAATTTCCTTCAAACAAGGACATCAGATTAATTTACAATACAGCCTACCAAACGAGTCACTGTTTGACATAGAAGGGATGCAAAAAATAGAGAACAGAAAACTCTTCACGCTTCAAACAGCTGTGATTAGAAGAGAAAGAAACAGCCACAGATGCTTCACATGGGCCCAAATCTTCACTTCCAACAAAACTCTGGTTAAAATTAAATATTTAACATTTGGATAACATTTATATGTCTATAAAACATAATACCGTATGCAAAGGTGTCTATGTCATGGTTATCGCAAAGGTGCCTTTCAAAAGGCAACTGGACTTCATTTGTTTTTTTCCTTGAAAACATTTCACTTCTCATCCAAGAAGCTTCTTCAGATCTGAAGTAAAGAAGTTTTTTGGATGAGAAATGAAACATTTCCAAGGAAAAAAACTAAGAAAGTCTGGTTGCCTTTTGAAAAGCACCTTTGGGATTATATGCAAAGGTTTTATTCATTTTCATATATACATTAAAATATATTTCAACCAAAACACAATGTTACTTGTTAATATTTTCTCCTATCAACCATCATTAGAGATAGGCTGCTATTGGCTTGCATCAGAATGTCAATAAGAATCAAATGATTACAAAAATTATTTGAGTGAAATGTGGGTCAATTCATGGTTTTCATTATTAGGACTACACTAGATTCTCAGTCTTATGTATCTAAAGCACCTAAAAAAAAGGAGAAAACTCTCCAATAGATTGTAAGCTGCCCAAAGTTATCTGATAGTGATGGGTGGAAAATAAGTTCAATAAATAAATAAATACATACATACATAAATACATACATAAATATCTCATATTTAATAAATATTCCGTTGCTTTAGATTTATATCCCATCTTTTCTTGAGAAGCTAAAAGCACCAGATATGTTTTAATTTGAAAACTCTGGATTTGTACCTTCAATGCAAATTTCAATTTCCTTCCTTACCTCTTTTCTCACTAATTTTCTCACAAGTGATTTTCTACTATATGTGAAAAGTTCAAAAAGGAAATTTGCTAAAAGAAAAGGCTATCTATACTTTTCAAGATGTTATATAAATTAATAAAAACAGCTTCAGAAAAAAAATGTAAATATACTCTTAATTCCAGAACTTACTTCTGTCTCCATGGAATTTCCGGCATGTTTTTACAGCAATAAAGATATCCGTTTTCTTCACAGGATCACCCTAAAAATAAAATATCATCTCCATATATTTTTCAATTTATGTATTTTTCAATTTAGATTGATAATTAGCAATTCATTTTTAAGAAAAGAACTACAGAAAAATGCAACTCCATTCTCCACAAAATATTTAAAAAAATATTATAGCTGTATTCTATATCTGAAAATGTAAACAATTTAAATAATGAAATGTTGCCTGGCAGCATTTGCCACTTAAACTATAGTAGAAATTCAGATTGCAGTTATGACTAGCGATAAATAAGAAAAAGAAATAGTCTAATTATAGCAGTGAATGAATACTATACTAAGAATCCCGTTGATTTTAATATGAGGGAGTTAAGCAGGTCATATCTCACTAAATATGGCTAGATCACATTTTCTTAGGATTCTGCTAGAGCTTTTTTTTTTACCTTTCTCCTGTAATCAACTCAAATATTTATAAACATATACAAATACATACACAAACGTATTTGCAACAAGAGCTATATTTTTATAGCCATAAATGGTTAATTTCAAGATTCTTTGGATCTAAGCAGAAAATGGTTTTTAAAAGGATTTCTGGTAGGTTCTAGAAATGGCACTCCAGTTTTTACAAGCACTTTGTCAAATGTTTTCTTCTTCTTCATGCAACATATAATCAAGCAACGAGTTAGCGAACACCTAGAAGTAAACAAAGTAATAGCCAAAAGCCAACATGGGTTTGTCAAAAACAGATCATGCCAGACTAATCTTATTGCATTCTTCATCAAAGTGACAAAATTAGTGGACCAGAGGAATGCGTCGATATAATTTACTTGGACTTCAGTAAGGCATTTGATAAAGTAGACCATAACCTACTACCAGATAAAGTAGAAAAAATGTGGGTTAGACAGCATCACCACCGAGATGGATTCATAACTGGCTGACCAACCCCACTCAATGTGTAGTCCTCAATGGAACTGCATCTTAGATGGAGGGAAATATGCAGTGGAGTACCCCAAGGCTCTGTTTTAGGCCCAGTACTCTTCAACATCTTCTATCATTTCCTCTGTT